TTTTTGCAGAAACGGCATTAAAGTTGATGGACATTTTAGAACAAATTGATCAAAAGCCTATTGAAATTACTAATCTTATGCAAAGGTAAGAAATTATTCTTGAATCTTTCATGATTTCTTTCTTTAAAGCACTATTATAAAATCAATTTTTCTTTCAGGTTTACATTAGATGTTCTTGGAAAAGTTTGCTTTGGTTTTGACTTTAATGTAAGTGTAAATAAAATTATAAATTATAAATAATTAGTCAATTCTTTATTCTAATAAACATTTGAATTAGAATCTTGGTGATCCGAATAATGTCTACGTAACAACATATAATGATGTTCAAAAAACTCTTATGAATCCATTTAATTATATTTTGCCACTTGAACTTATTCCAGGAATAAGGCAAAAAAACCTTAGAAAAATTAATAAATTAAATAGTTTGTTTGAAGGAATTATTAAAGAAAAACATAAAGCTTTAGCTGCTGGAAAGTTTCGAGGAGATCTTTTGGAAGTTATGTTAAAAGCTAACGAAAATCAAGATAATCAAATGTTATCAGATACTGAACTAAGGGTAAATTAAATTCTTTTTTTTTTATTTAATCATTGAAAATCAAATTTTAATAAATTTTTTAATTTAAATAGCATAATCTAGCAGCTTTTATGCTTGGTGGTCATGAAACAAGTAATACATACTAATGTTATACGTATTAAAAGATATCTGTATATAGTTTTTACAATATTATAATATTTAACAAATTTATAAATTAGCCGCAACTGCATTATCAACCATTTTATATCTATTATCGATTCATAAAGTAAGATGCATATTTATTATTATTATCATTAATATTACTATATTCATTGAATATCTATATATCTATATATATATATAGAATGTTCAAGAAAAAGCTCGAGAAGAAGTATTGAGAATACTTGGAGACAATTTAATTCCATCAACAGAGCAATATAAATCATTAAAATACTTAAATACTGTATGATAATCCGAGAAAACCTTAGATTATATCCATCAGTCAGTATAAGTTTACATTTAGTTATATTTTAAATTAAATAATAACTATCATTATTATTAATAAATAGGTTCCATCTTTGTCGTGGCGTAAATTAACTGAGGATCTAAAAATTAAGGATTTGGTAATTCCAGCTGGCACAAATATTGAAGTATTCATATACGGAATTCAACATTCATCAAAACTTTGGGATAATCCTGAAGAATTTTTGCCTGAGAGATTTGAAAATGAACACATGAACATTGAAAATAATTCAAATAATTCTTGGTTTGCTTTTGGTGGTGGACCCAGAATGTTAGTTTGTTTTTTTAAATTTTGGTTGTATTATTTATGAATATATACAATATTTTAATAATATTTAATCTTTTTTTAAAAAACAGATGTCTAGGAAATAATTTTTCTCTTATTGAACAAAGAATTATCTTATGTTTATTATGTAAGTATTTTAATCTTAAAATATTAATTTTTATAAATGTTCATAGATATATATAAACATATTTTTTTTATAGTACACAAATATGAAATTTCATTAGCCCCGAATAGTATACATAAAGATGGATTAAAATTAAAGTTTCGAACGTTACCATATCCCATTGAACTTATACTTAAACGAAGAGATTATTAACAAAAAGTTAACTTTATGGTTATATTTTAATATACTTTACAGAAGCTAGCTAAATTTTTTGCACTAGTTGATTATAATCTTAAAGATTATACTAACATGATTACAATTATATCTTATAATAACCCTATAATAATCTTATAATAATCTTATAAAAATCTTATGATCATTTTAAAATAGTTTTAAAATAATCTTATAATAATCTTAAAAAATCTTATAATAATCTTAAACAATAATTTTATAATAAAAATTTATAATACTTTTATATTTATTAAACAATAATTTTATTATTATTTTTAGAAAAAATCTAAACAGAGCCCCCCGTGCACTCAGTGGCACTAATTACCGTAGAGCACTGCCCAAAAGATTCCCCTTTCTGAGTACCCCCATGCAAGATATCCGGATATTTTTCCTGATATATATTTTTTTACCAAGTATAATACCCGGGTATTTTGCAATTATTTGGCGTGGGATTTTATATAAGCCTGGGTATAGTCGTTAGTGCTAATTTTGATTATTGGACCTTTTTTTTTGATCACTAAAACGTATAAAATCTGATCAAAGATCCCCTAAATTATTA